ATATCTATAATTATTTATTTTTATTTTAAACTTTTTTGTTGGGGTATTATACTGAAACGGTATACTAGATAACATATTTGAAAATTTTTACTATGACACAATCTGAGCTTTCAGAGTTCATCGATGCCCCTGCTCTTTTTCAAACAGAGGCTGAAAAAGATAAAACAGAAGTCCAGGTAATTCGCATTCTGGCAAAAAATACTTGACTGACATCCCAACACTGGATAATATAGTTGCAGGGAATGATGAGGGATGAACCTCAAACCTCAATGATGCTCTATTCAGTTGCGAAAAAATTCCATTCATGGCCATTGAGAATGAAGGATCGACTAAAAGGATAAATGGAATGTACCACTATGTATTGCGTCTTTATGATCATCTTATTAATGGCCAAAAGGTACTGGTAACTCTTATAGACATTCAAGTTTGCTTTGACATTCTCGTATCAGATGGAGAGACTCCAGATGAATATGAAGAAAAGGTGAACAAAATTCTCTCTGGCATTGTGAAATCATTTAAAATAAAGCACATTAAAGCTTTTCCTTTTCGGGTTATCATACTAAAAAAAAGTCATATTTACGAATTTATACAAATGGTACTGGAGAGAAAAAGAAAGCCATCCAAGCTATCCAAGAAAATAATTTCGTAACTGCTTCAGATGATTTATACTCATTCTACCGAAAGGTAGCTTGAGAAAATGGAATCCAACTTTCTGGATGGTCTACAATAAACAAATATATACGTAAGAAAGGTAAGCAGACTAACCCACTTTGTCCATATGAGTTCTTCGTATTTATAAAAGATTTCTGTCCACTAAAGGATTTCACAACAATAAGTGACCAATTCCTCATTTCAGCTCTCTTATGAGATTACACTCTTATCCTTATATGGCATATAGAAACATATGCCTCACAAATGGAAGAATTTGCAGAAGTTCTTGAACAGAAAAACAAGGCCTTTATGATTGGTATGACATTACATTGGAAAGATGATCCAAAACCATTAAAACAAATCTGTTTTGTTGACGTTGAAACTGCACCAGACTCATGATGGGTTACAATCATATGTGAAAATCAGGTAAATTTGCTAAAAGCTTTCGCTCTCTGCTGGCGAGCATTTGCCCCTGACATTCAAGTTAGATTTAATGATTCTGACTATAATTGGCATTTTATTATGGAGAGAGCATATCATCTCAATATACTCAAATAGATATGGGAGCAAATGACAGGAAAGTTCGAAATAAAGGAAGAAATCCTAAAGTGGAAATATCGTGGAAAAATAGGAGCAAAATCTGAAAATAATTTTATGATGAAAGGAAAGAAAAAGGATACAGATGAAAAGGGGACCATATGAGGATTGGGTGAGGAGGTCGAAGAAAAGAAAGATTATATAGAAGCAATTAAGATCAAAATTACTGTAGAAGAGGATTTCTTTTCCAGTTTTCTTAAACTGCCAGGATGCGTACCAATTGATGTCTGAGTGTGTCTCAAAAAACGTTATTCCTATTCTGAAGTCGAAAAGGAAGGATCGCTTAAATTCTTCTTAAAAAAGTGTGGCCTTGACACCAAAGCTGACATGCTATATGATGAAATGTGAAGAATCTGTTCAGAGGCAAAAAAGACCCCTCTCCTTTAACTGCAAGAAAAATGCGAGAAGTAGCCAATTATTGTATTATAGATGTATTACATTGCCAAGAGCTTTTGGTAAAGCTAAGTCAAATAAATGATTACAGAGAAGTCGCTTTTATAGCTCATGTATCTTTGTTCAACTCACACTATCGAGCAAATGGAATGAAGGTACAAAACCTTCTGGACGCTTATGCTTTTAAACATGATATGGTATTTAGCTCAAGAGTATGTGAAAATATAGAAAAAGGAAAATATCCTGGTGCATACGTTTTTCCACCTGAAAAGGAGATTGAAACGAGAAGACCTGTAACAGGATTGATCTTTGCCTCATTATATTCCAGTCTCATCATGGCTTACAATCTCTCTCCAGATAAATTAATACTAACATATGGAGAGGCTGATATTGTGGAAAAAATAAAAACATTTTACATAAGATTGAGTTTCCACTCAATAACTGCACTGTCCAAGCTAGGAATGTAAGACATGAAAATAAATTTGAAAAGAAGGGCTTATATCCTGTTGTATTAGAGGAATTATCTAACAAGAGACTGGAGCTTAAAGCATGTCTGGCCTCACTAGGAAAGAAAAGACAACATCTTGGGAAGATAATAAGTTCAGCTAAAAAAAGAGGCAAAAGGATTCCAGAAAGCTTAAATTCAGAATATTCATCTGTATGCTTCAATTACAATTATTGGGATTCAAAGCAAAAAGCTTTAAAGGTATATATGAACACTTTTTATGGGAGGCAGGCAACTCAAAATCTCCAATCTTTCTCTGTGAATTAGCTAAAAAAACTATTTCAGCAGAAAAATATACCCTTAATCTTGTCGCAGAATTCATAACAAAGAAAGGGTTTGCGATAAAATATGGTAATACCAATTCTTTATATCTCACCTGTTCAGATAAGTATTATGAAAAATGCGATAATGCCTTTTTCAGAAAAGATCTTTTTAAAGAAGCGTATTGGACTGAAATGGTTAATATTACTATGATTGTGATGAAAAGCTTGCGTGATCAAGTAAATACTTATCTTGAGATAAAGAATGGCACATCTTATCTTAAGATGGCATATGAAGAGATATTATTTTCCGTCTGCTTTGCTAGCAAGAAAAAATATTTCAGTATATCACATGAAGATGTGGTTAATTTTAGGCCAAATGATCTCTTTATGAGAGGAATTGATACTGTGAAGCAAGGGA